AAAGTTATAGCCAAGGTTAAAGTTTCATAAATATTTGCAAAAGTGAGTCAAACTCCAAGTTCAAGGTCAAAAGGTCAAATATAATGTTGGTATCAAGAAAGGTCTTGTCACAAGAAATACACCTGTGAAATATGAAAGCCATGGCTCCAACCAATCAAACGTTATGGGCAAGGTTAAAGTTTTTGCTGACAGACAGACGGACGGACGGTCAGATCAAAAACTATATGCCCCCGAATCTTCGATTACGGGGGCATGAAAAGAAACCAATATTCTAGAGTTTTATCTCTACTTATGAACTATATAGACTTTTATACAGGTATTCTTTTGGTGCAAGTAAAAGAAACAATGCGACAAAACTAATCAAGTGAACATTTTAATTTTTTTTTTTAAATTGTTCAGCGTTGTTCCAATTATACCTTATTTTTGAACATTTTCAGACGATTCCTGTCGAAAACATTTCTCAGCTAAGAAGAGGAGACCACATTAAGTTCCACCGCTTGTTATATACTCACCATGGAATTGTAACGAATGTTTGGGAGAACATTAATAAATTTGAAGTCATTGCTATGGAGTTTGACATAAATCAAACCCCGGCTATAGGATTGAAAAGAAGCATTGAAAAAATGTCGAAATGGAGAAGAATCGTTCCTGTTATATACAAATACGAGTATCGAGAGCGATAAGATCCTGAAGTTACAATAGAAATGATAGAATACTTGCTGGAACACAGAGAGAAGGTAAAATATGACGTACTCTCCAATAACTGTGAGCATATTGCGAGGTTCTGTGCCACAGGGAAGCATAAAAGCCAACAAGCAAACAGAGTCAGAGTAGTAAGTGCTCTTGGTCTTCTGCTTTTAGCAGGTATAGTGATTCTTGAAGTGGCACGATAAATGCAACCCTGGTTAAACTTTCCAGTGAAGAGTTTAAACAAAGCAAAATATTCGCCGTTATTACAGAAAGACTTGGTTTATATTTACCTTAAAATATTTTTTTTCCAATATTGCTTCATTTAGCATGATTAATACATGCATGTCTATCAAGTTGTTTTGTTGTTGTATAGTAGTTGTTGTCATTGTTTAAATTAAAAAAAAAATACTTTTTTGAAAAATAATTATACAATCATCAATTGAATCTTTCTTAGGAATAAGATATTGTGTATAAATAACAAGAGTGATAAAATGCAGAGGGTTTTTAACACAAATAAAGGGAACATCTAAACCTGGAAGATGGTGGTAAAGTTCCAAATTATTTAATTTAGAAAATTCATATAGAAATGATAGATTCCAGGCACGAATTGTTATTTCAAGGGTTTCATAACATGTACATGTACAAAATCATACTGCGTCAATTGCTTTATAACATGAATTTACCAGATTTAACTTGATAATCTGAAAACGCTACTTTCATTACTGCTTGTATATATGATGCTTCTTTAGAATTAATTGACATAAGAATTGTTCTCTTATTTGTGTGTATAGCTTAAATCTATGATAATAAAATCAATTTCTACTGATCCATCCTTCTTCTTGTTTTTAATTTTTTTTTTTTTTTTTTTTTTTTTTTTTTTTTTTTTTTGACGATTATTTAACGTTGAAAACAATTTTGATCAGGTTCTTTAATTAAGTCAATCCTGCATTTTTCATATCAGTGGTACATAATTTAAGAGAAACTATTTCAACTACATGTAACTCTGTTACTTTTTAAAGACTTTCAAACACATCATGCCACTATTTAACATGTACAACTTCACCCTGTATACATTGTATGTATTAACATGTAATTTTACTTCCAATTTTTCTAATCTTTTAAAATCTAGCCACTGAAATGGACAAATGATATATATATATATATATATATATATATATATATATATATATATATATATATATATATATATATATATATATATATATATATATCTTAACTATAGTTTACGAGTGTAAATTGTAGTTTGCGATTATTGTTTACGTCTGGTTTTTTTTTTTTTTTTTTTTTTGTTTTTTGTTGTTTTTTTTTTTTGTTTTGTTTTGTTTTGTTTTTTGTTGTTTTTTTTTTTTTTTATTATTATTATTATTATTTTGTATTGTTTATTTATTCCTTAAACCATACGGCTTATCAGATTACATACTCATTAGACAATTACAAAATACAAAATGTACATACATAAAATATTTACATACTCTTGTTTTAACATAATATTATTTGTGTACAATATTTCCAACCAAGTATCAAAGAAAAAAAATCCTTAGTTTACAGATGTGAATCTCTGTGTTTCTGCTTTCTGTAGGATTTTCCCTATATTACTTAGTTCACTCACATTTTCAGTTGATAATAATTGCAAAAGTTTATACATACTAGGTCTATACCAATAATACTTTTTAATATACAATTTCCTGTATTCATGATAAAGTGAACATTTTAAAACAAAATGGTACTCATCTTCAACCTCTAACTGACAGAAAAAAAAACATAATCTACTGTGGTTTCATTAATATTCGTGGGCATCAATTTTCGTGGATTTAGTTAAAATTACTGTTTCGAGGATACGTAAATTCGTGGATAATGATCATACAACAACAACAAAAAAAAATTGTGCTTTCATTGTGCAGATGATAATTGGTGTTGGACCCTTAGATTGCTTGAGAATAACGAATTCACACATTTACTCCTGATTATTTATCACCCTTGGTGTTATACCATTGATTAGTATGTGAACTCATAGCCGTAGAAACCCGGGGGGGGGGGGCACGGGGGACCGTGCCCCCCCCCCCCAATAATTTTCCCGATATATAGATTACTATAGTAAACGTAGATACTATATCCTTGTGCCCCCTCAATAAAAACGTCTGATGACCTTTTTTTTCTTGTCAGGAAATTAAATTTTTGGTAGTGCCCCCTCAACTGTCAACTGAAAAATGTGTGGCTGTGCCCCCCTCCCCCCCCCCCCCCCCCCGAACTGAAATTGCTTCCTACGGGCCTGGAACTGCGTTAACAGCTCTTCGTGTTGTTTGTTTCTCCGTGTAGAATATTTATACATATTGACTAAAATTTTTCAGATAATTATCTAATAGTATTTTTTAAATATTCTTCAAGTGATAAAATAAAGACAAAACTGTTGGGAAAAGGGGGTGAATTAACGAAAGTTGTAATAGGATTTTTAAAGGTTTATCATAAATCAAAATGGAGGCGCCAAACTTCGATGAACATTTGATTTCGTGGATCGACTCAACAACGAAATCCACGAAAATTGGTCTTCCACGAATAATGATGAAACCACAGTATTCTCTCTAGGAATATGAGTAAATCTTCCCTTCTCAATCATTAATAATGTGCACTTAGTCTATATTTTGCAATCAATTGAAAATACTTGGTTGGAATTGATTTCATTAGGTAGGATTGCACACTGTTAAATAATAGTGCATGAGTGTAAATGTAATTTATCTATAGTTTCCACCAGAAATCTATGAATAACGAATGTGAAACATAGTTTATGTGATAAATATAATTTAAGGATTTGCGAAACTATAAACAACTCTTAACTATGGTAATTTAAATTGTAGTTTACAAATTTATAAGCAAAATCTATTGTTAACGTTTATTTACAGACAGATAAACGTCGATTAGCATTCATAAACTATAGTTTACAACCGTTAAATATAGATTTACAGATGAAAACTATAGTTAATAAATCGTTAACTTTTGTTTACTGTTCGTTAACTATAGAGTTTACAATCGATAAACCTATTTTATCAGCCGTTAAAAATGTTTTTCGCATTTTTGTGAATTTGGTGTTATACACACATTATACTCTGTGAATTCAGCGACATTTTTGTGAGAATTTTCATTTATTTAACTGTTGATTTGAAGAACCTGAGGTTCGGACTACCTTTACATTAAGATTTAATATTTTCATTTAACATAAATTATGTATGTTGTAGGTGCAGCTAGGTAGTTTTCAAAAAGTTTAATTTTTTGATGCGATGAATAATTTACTTATTGTATGTATAATCAAATACATTGTATACACTTTTGAACTCATTTAAACCGTAAAAATGTTCATCGTAAAAAGGTTCTTTAGAAAAAAAAAAGTATAATAACGGTCATATTGTATGTAATTACAGCATACAATCATCATGATCATGTCTTCTCAATTGATATTCTATTTCTTCACGAGATATATTTGACAAAGTTAACTTCCATTTTAAGTTACATGTAGTAAAGGATATCCTTGATCTGTAGCGTACAAGTTGCATGAACAGACATGGCCAATTATACTAATTATATAATCTTTATATCTTCATATTATAAAATCTACTTCAACTCAGTCACATTTTTCCGTTATACTTGTGAATACTCGGTGAGAATCGATACATCTTCCGCCTTGCTTATGAAGATAAACAGAGCATAAACAGTTTGCCCATTTAACATAATACTTGGCGCATCTTGATGTTCCTCTGAAGAACGGAGTTATTTTTAGCATTTCAGATATGTACATGAATCTATATGCGTATATACATCAGATTCTATTATATGCCGCCATGATGGTTTGAGTTAACACGTATAATTTTGAAGGTAAATATTATGTAGTTTTCAAGAACTTAATTACCGCATGCACCGTGTTCAATGTATCTAAAAAAAAAATTAACCCAAAGGTTATTCATTATCGGTTAACAACGTATAATGAAATTAAGTCATATCATAGAACACAGTAATTTTGTATAGAGGCTAATATGACGGATAACTTATATCAGATAAAAGCAATGCAAGTACCGTGACAAAAATAATTTTCATGGTTTGTTTATTTTAGTAAACAAGGTCAGAAAAACACCACGGTACAAGGCAGGATCATGTCCAGATCAATAGAAACCCTCGGGCTCGTGTTTGTAAATAAAACTTAATGGACTTAATACAGATAATCCAGGGATACCGAATTTAACAGCTGAAAACTGTGCGTAATTTACACGAAACACATTGTTTTTTCACGCAGGAAGGTGTAAATCCCTAGGAGCAAATTCGTAACATGAACTGAATAACGCAGGAAAGATGGTATACATGAAAATCGGAAAATTCGATCATTATTTATACAAACATTCTATGTGGAATATTTGACGATATGCAGGCATTTCTTTGAAACAGACAAACCCATCTACTATGGCAGCAGAGAAGACGGTATTTTCTGAAGTTCCACAAATTTTAACCATCATAAAAACTGGATTTCGGTGGACGTACAAAGTGGAATGTGGACTCAGCACGAGTCATTTTTACGTAAGTGGGTCAAACAGCGTCATTAAACACCTGAGTACAAACGGAGAGTTACTAGAAGAAATAGTAACCAAGTCCAAAAATGTGCCTCGTTGTTTCACAGTCAACAAAAAAGGACAATTGATTTACAGTGACAGTGTTGATAGAAGTATCAATATTGTTAAAGGACGTGAAATTGAGCGTCTAGTAAGACTTGGAGGTTGGAAACCAAACTCGATCTGCAGTACAACCGCGGATGAAATACTCGTGGCTTTGAAAGCTGATGACGGGGATGAGGCAAAAGTAGTTCGTTACGCAAACTCCAAAATGACCCAAGAAATACAGTACAATAGCGATGGACAACCTTTATATTTGGACCCGCACTATATTGACGAGAACAAAAATTCGGATATAGTGGTCAGTGATTTTGATAAGAAGGAAATTATCGTGGTGGATAAAGTAGGAAAATACAAATTCAGTTACCATGGAAACCATCTGACCAAAACGCACGAAGAATTTTCTCCGCGTGGTATAACTACAGACAGCATGTGTCAAATTTTGATAGCTGATTTTGATAATAATTTGATACACATTATTGACCATGATGGTAAATTTTTACGGTATATAGAAAACTGTAACCTGCATTTACCGTTGGATCTTAGCACTAACAGTGACGATGTGTTGTTTGTTGTTGAATATTACAGCAACAAAGTGAAGGAAGTGAAGTATTTGAAATAAAAAATTAGATAGCCAGGATAGATTTATCCTAAATAATTCCAGCATTATACATTCTTATCTGTTTCTTCACCTTTCTGAAGTGTAAACTATATAATAAACGTAACTATATATACAGCTAGTATGTAAACAGTATTTAATCTTTAGTTAATAAAATTTGAACATAGTATTTTTATGTAGTGAAAATCATATTCTTGTATTCAAATGAGAAAATAAAGATTATTTGTATTTAAAATAAAATTTTCAAGACCCTGCAAAATATTAAAATCTTAACTTCTAGTATATTACCTACATCAACTGTTCTTCTCAAGTTAACATTAACAGAAGCTATATGTAAATTTATATGCATTAATTTATATGAAAATACAAAAGTTTGAGCACAGAGAGTTTTGAAAACTGATTTATTTCTTGACATATTCTTTAACAGCAGTAACACCTTAGATTCACACCATGATAATAAAGACAGAATTTATGTACAAAACATTGCACAATGTTAAATGCATATATACACCATAAAAGTATTCTGGTTTGCAAGTGTTTTGCAATTGTATAATTTAAAAAATAAATTTTATCTTGAAAATTTTTTTGTGATATGCTGATAATATCAGAATCTGTAAATTAAGGTGCAGATATAAATCTCACTCAGACTCTTGTACCTTTTTCTTGTACTTCAATGATTAAAATTAAATGCTTCATGGACACAATTAACATTTTATAGCTTTGAATATCAAATTGTGGAAGTGGAAAGTACCTGTGTTTGTCACCTAGTATATCAGAATTTATATATCAAAATTTAAAAACAATCCTACAAAGAATTACAAAATAAATTCTTTAAAAAATTTAAATTTTATAAAATTGGACGGGTTAAAAGTTAAATATCCATAAAAATAATAAATAAAATCGGAAATGTATCACAGATGGTAGATATAAACAAGAAATCACAGAAACCAACTCAAAAACCTGACTCTCAAAATAGATACACTGTACATGTACATTGCTTTTGTCATTATGTACATATATATAAACGCTTGACAAACATCCATGTCTTTTGACATATATGAATAATTCCTAGGGAATGTATGAAAAGATTCACATCTGTGCGGGTCTCTTCCTTTGTTTGCCTGGGCTGTCATCCCTAACACTCTGTTGGTCCTGTGTCGGGGCAGGGGTCTGTGGGACTGTCCCATGTACATTCTGTAGTGGCTCCTGCTGTTGAATGTATTTGTCCATCAGCCATGCTTGGTCCTTACGATTAAAATTTCTGCTCAGTTCAAAGAGATTGACCACTGACATTCTCTGAGATAGGTTAAGGAGAGGTCATTTTTGCCCAATTGAACAAACTGCATCACATATAATAATTAAGGTTTATCATTTCTCAGACCATTCATAGAAAATTTACTTTAATAATGATTTCAAAAGAAAGCTAAATTGTATTTGAAATGAAAACAATTTTAATGTTCTCTGTAAAAAATTGTCAGAAACTGTCCTTTCACTTGACAGCTTTTTAAGGGGAATAACAATTATTAACCTCAATGAGAGTTATATCTTATCATGGGGTCAATAAACTTAACACCATATTTAGTCTATTTTATATAAATCTCAAAGCAAAGGTTTAGCTTCAGAATGCTTGATTTTGTATTGTTGATGCAAGCATTATTAAGGATACAGATTTCTGAGGAAGGGGAGGTAACTGGAATACAGATGGAGGTTGAGACAACCTTAAATCTGTGGAACCTGAAAACAAAAATAAAGTCCATTAATACATTACAAATATACATTCTTAATAATTACAGTAGCTAAATGAATTGATAATAAAACAGATGCAATTCATTCATAATCAAGTTATTTTAATATGATAGGTTAACTAACGAAAGAAGCAGCAAATATGACAATTATTAAAATTAATGAAATTATTTCAAACTAGGGCAGACACCTGTTTAATTTTAATTTTCTTGATTAAATGAATAATAAATGAGATTAACAGGGTCTGCACTTGTGACACAAAACAAAGGAAATTTTGTTGAAATAATCAATTATTTAGTTAGTTCTATAAAGCTTTGTCTTGAACTAGAATTCTAAGTATCCATGAGACCTTGACCTTGTTCAAAAAATGGTTTTTATTTTGAAAAATGCAAAACACTTCTCTTTAAAGGGACACAACCCCTTGTTTATATTTTCTTTACATGTTAACCCTTGCTTCTTTATACCAATGAAATAAATTGTTCCAAGATTTTAAGTTTTGATGTGTCTATTGTTAGGTCATTATCCCCAGCCCTTGGCTTAGTGTTCCTCTAATATCAAACAGTTCTTACATAACTGACATTCTTGATAATACCTATTGTATAAAACAATAGAAAGAAGAAAGGGGGGTTGGGGGGGTTGGGGGGGGGGCATTTCTATGAACAAATCCTTATTTAAGTTTGGATATGAGTGTTTAACTATTTTATAACATACCCGTAGGATGGAAATACTGATGTGCCCTGGGGTTGTAGATAGTGGCATTGTTGGTTTTTGTTGGCATAAACAATGCTGGCAAGCTGACATCTAAAAATATACACAGTACACTATATATCTGATAAATAATTTATCCTGCAGAGTAATGCATATTTTTGTTTACCCTGGTAATAATCTTTTTTTTAAAATTCAGTACAACAATTTGAAATTAAGTGTAATAGTTCTCCTTTTCACTGTAATGTTCTCTCCAATTGTAGACAAAACGTATTAATAAGTGGCCCATGGGCCACAATGCTCACCTGAGTAACTCTGGTACTACTGCTCTTCATCAGCAGATTTTTTTTTTTATAATTTCCCTCTTTAATTTCATAAACATTTAGCCTCCATATTGTGAACCAAAATTAGCCCTAGGAGATCTATGATTTATTCTAAATTCAATCCACACAATATTTGGTTGCTTCAATATCAATACAATCAACATAGCCCTGTTGCCCTGGATTTTTTTTTCCTATATACATGTACATGCATTATGTAAAATTTGGATCTCTGATTTTGGCCCAATCCTAACCGTATGGCTCATAATTTTGAAAAAAAAAAATGATCCATATAACTTGGGTATGTTTTGCTTTTTGATATGATTTAGTGTAGTCTTGCCACTCTTGAAAAAATTTCTTCCTATTTATATATTACTTACTCTATTGTAAAACTCTGATCCCTATTTTAGCCTCAACCTATTCCAGAGAGTCCTGTTCTGGACAAACTTTAATCTAAACTACCCGAGAATGATTGCATATCAACCTGACTAAAAATGATTTTGCTGATCATAAGAGCAAGAATTTTAAAGATCTTTACTAAATATCCCTATATAAAACTTTAATCTCATATTGTGGCCCCAACCTATCCCAGGCACCATGATTTGAAGAAATATGAATATACTCTACCTGAGGATGCTTCAATATAAATATGACTAATCATGACTCTGGTGAGATTTTAAGAAAATTTTAAAGATTTTTTTCTATATATTCTTATGTAAAAGTTTGAATGCCTTATGTGAACCCATCCTAAACCCCAGGGGTCATGATTTGAACAAACTTGATCTACACTGCTGGAGGATGCTTCTATGTTAAAATGACTAATCACTGGCTTTGCTGTTCCTCTTGAGAAGCAGATTTGTAAAGATTTTTCCTATATATTTCTATGTATAGCTTTGTTTGCCCATCGTGGCCCCATCCTATCCTTGGGGGTCATAATTTGATCAAATTTGAATCTTTGTGTTCTTTGGTTCTTGAAAAGAAGATTTATTAAAAGATGCTGTTAAATTTTCACTAATTTTTAATTATCTCCCCTTGAAAGAGGGTGAGGTCATTTATTTGAACAAACTCCCCTTCACCCAAGGATGCTCTTTGCCAAGTTGGTTGAAAGTGGCCCAGTGGTTCTGGAGAAGAAGATGAAATTTTGAAAAATTACGACAACAACACAATGACAGACAAGACTTAAATTTTCATCAGAAAAGTTCACTTTAGCCTTTGGCTCAGGTGAGCTATAGGAATTCATGCAGACATATTCCAATAATGTCTTCTGAAATGTTTTCATTGCATTGTTTTCAGTCACAAAAATGCAATTATTAAAATTCAAGAGATTTTGTAACATAAAATATTATTTTATGTAACATATAAATATATATAACATATTTATAAATATATAAAAACTCTACCTCTTAAAAAGTTCACTAATTTTAATTATGTCAAACCTTTTTTTTCTCCCAAAGAATTCTTAATTTTGATTTTATATATACCTATAATAATTGTTGCTTTTTAGCCAATTTTTTTCCTTAAGGAATAATGTACGATTGCAATAATAGCACTCTAATTTTTTTTCATATGCTAATCTTTTATAAAACAAGATTCCATATACAAAGAAGAAGAACTTTTTGTGACATGAAATATCCCTCACCCTTCATTGCATCAAACAGCCCCTCCTCTTTCCGGCTGAGTTTATTCTGTCCCGCCAGCTTCTTCTCTAGCTCCTCCTGGATCGTTTTCATGGTCCGCTCCTGGTTCTCCTGCTGGTGTTTTTTACTGGTCTCCTCAAACCAGGCCAAGCGTGACATGAACTATAAATAGAACATGGCAAAAATTCATTCAGTTTGGCTACTTATCTCAATTACAGGTCAAACATGACATGAACTGTAAATGGAACATGGCCAATGATGCATCAGAGATTTGGCTCTAATAGTCTTTAGATTTCAGACCAAACAAACATCAACTAAATAGTACATGGCCCAAATGGCGAGTGCATTAGTAATTTGACCAGTAATCTCAAGAAGCCTTGTTCATTGCTAAGGAGACTCAGTATATTTTTCAACTTTGGAATGATTTAAGTAATTTATACTTCATGCCCTGATTAACATCATTTTTACAGTACATATTAGTTAAATTCCTGGATCTTGTTATTCAGAGGAATACATCACTCTATTTTGTTTTTCTTGAAGATTTAGCTTATTAGTTAAAACTAAAATCTAGATTGGAACAATCTGCTGAAGGAAAAATTAAAAACAAAAGTATGAAACAAACTTTCCTAAATGC